AATTTCATCTTTAAACGAAGCAATCTCTAAGCGAGGCACCACTGTATAAGGAAATTCAGAAGCCCAAGGGGAGCACTTGATGGGGATAGTAATTCATTTGAGTCTCAATGTGTGTCACCATTTGGTGGTCCATACAGCGGCATACTCCTCCCCTCCATCTACTAAGGGAGGTTCGTTTTTGTCCACCAGGTACAGAACCACTAAGGACATTATCCTGCCTTTTCGGGTGATCCCACTGGTGCGGGAGGTGGGCCGCACCAAGCTGGAGGTGAAGGTGGTGATCAAGTCTAACTTCAAGCCTTCTCTCTTGGCTCAGAAGATAGAGGTAATGGTGGCAAGGGCATGAAGTGCATTCCATCCATGGCAGTCTGTTACAGCAAGACACAAGCTCATATCCCTTCAGCTCCAGCTGTGGGAGCACAGTGCTTTCCTGTTGGTAGGCTGTAGAAGAGCAATGTGTGGGAGCTGATGGCTCTGCATGGTCCTTGGAGGCCGGCTAACAGCAAGTGCTCTTAAATGCCCTGCAATGGAATCCAAATGTTGACTGAGGGTTACAAATCCTGTAGGGTGGCATGGCTAACGCTTGGTTATGCCTAGAGCTTTTTACCATGGAACAAAAAGTCAGCCAGCCACTCTGCATGGTGGACTCTCTGTGGAAAACGTAACTCTTGTAACTCTTCAGAGAGCTTCCTTGTTTTGATAGGTCTTCATGAATGCTTTGTTGCTTTTACCCTACAACCGATCCTCCCCCCCGGCCCCCCCGGCTCTTCCTCGGATATACAGTTGTGCTTTCTGTTTCTTCTGAGTTCTGTCCTAGACTGTGTTAGTTAGCTTTCTCTTTCCTGTTGGCCCAAGTGGCAAAATGGAATTCAGACACTTCTCTCTCTTAGGTGCGAATCCCAACCCCTCTCAACACGAGTGGCGTACAGGTCATCTGCATGAAAGGGAAGGCAAAGTACAAGGCCAGCGAGAACGCCATTGTCTGGAAGTAAGTGGCACATCTCTTCATCGGGGCAGGGGTAGCTCAGCGCAGCCTATGAGCCCTGGCAGATTGTGTGCCCCCAGCCCTCAGCTGATCTGGTGGTGCCAAGGAGGTCCACCCTGGGTTGACAGAACAGTTTTCTCTCTCCTTCATTCCGTAGAATTAAGCGCATGGCTGGCATGAAGGAATCACAGATCAGTGCAGAGATTGAACTGCTTCCAACCAACGACAAGAAGAAGTGGGCTCGGCCACCCATCTCCATGAACTTCGAGGTAGGAAGACTAAATTTTCCCTAGGAGGTTGCTTGGTACAGGGTAGCTGCTTCAGTTTCAGATTCAAAGAGAGGGAGGGATTAAGAGAGGATGAGCAGTTGCACTGAAGAAATGATGGGGCAGGGCCCCCGCTCCCAAAAAAAAAGTGTTTTTGATATGTATGGCTTTTTGAGAGAGAGATGAGACCTGCCAAGGAAAAATCATCTGTGCTCATTCAGAGCTTTGAGCCCACCGTGCCTTTCCCTGGGAGGCTTCTGCTTTTCACCTCTAGGCCTTATCATCCTGACTTATGTCAGGCTCAGGAATGTGTGGCAGACTTTTTAGCTTTCATGCTTACATGAAGAAAATACACTGCTTCTGCAGAAGTAAGAAGGGCATTGACTTCAGAAAGCAGGGATAACTGAATGTGTAGATAGCTAAATTCATGGAAATATTTTATTGATTGATTGATTGATTGATTGATTGATTGATTGATTGATTGATTGATTGATTGATTGATTGATTGATTGATTGATATCCCGCCCATTTTGTATATTCTACCACTCTGGGCGGCTACCAACAAATACACACACACACATTAAAATAACACAGATGCAATTGGCATAATCAATAACAAGAGCAGTGCAAAAAATATAATCAATGATAGATAACAAAGGAAAGAAGTTAAATGCTGGCAGGAGGGAAGGCCTGGGTGTACAGCCATGTTTTTAGTTGGGTCACTTAGCATAGTGACCCTAGAGCTTACACAAGTAGAAGGTTGGGATTTGCACTGAAAGCAGAATTTAAGCGTTATGTTCAGGGTGGAGGTCAACTAATGCATCTTCCTCTGGGGAAAATGATCCAAGTCCTCCTCTTGTGTAAGAGTTGAAGATGGCTAACTCAAAACAATCTAAAAGCAGCCATTGTTAAATCTGGTTTGTGTCTTAAAAAGGTGTTGGAAGGGCACCGGAATGGTAGCAGACTCAGGAGAGTGCTGCCTGGATGGCTTTTCTTTCCACCTCCGTGGCTGTGGACTGGCTCACGCTCCCTCATTCTTGTTCTTTGCTTTGTGCAGGTTCCCTTTGCGCCTTCCGGGCTGAAGGTGCGGTACCTGAAAGTCTTTGAGCCAAAGCTGAACTACAGTGACCACGATGTGATCAAATGGGTGCGTTACATCGGCAGGAGCGGGATCTATGAGACAAGATGCTAGCCCTGCACAGCCAGCTGGCGACCCCTTTCCCAGCCGCCCTTGGTCTCAAAATACAATTGAAGAGCATCATCTCTCTGGCCCCTCTTCTGTGCTTAGGCTGGAAGCTGGACTCCTGCAGCTCCTCTCTGGAAAAAAAGAAAACAACACTATTGTCTGCTTTGGTTTCAGTTACTTTTGGAGTTGCAGCTGAAGCCAGGTGCCTCTTCCTTCTGTCCCAGGGTATAAAGGGGCCAGTCTAACCATCATCCCCTTGTGGTCATTCTAGGGAACATCCACCATGTGATAATTACCCTCCTCTTCTGTTGTCACTACTTGCATCATATCCTAGTATTTTTGGAAGTTCTTGTGCATACGTACTATAGTAGCATAGGCCTGAAAGACCATAGACTGGACAAACCTTGAATTAATTCTGGCTCCCATACTCGCTATTGCTCTTGTGATTGTTGCTATGCAGCGAGAGTGGGGCTCACCGTTCCCCCTCCTCCACTGCCCTCTTTTCTCTTTGTGTTCTTGTGCATTGTCCTTATTTCGGAGCTCTGCTCCAGGAAGTTTGGGGACCAAAAAGGCGGAGGGTTGGCATCTTCTCCTTGCTGGAAGCAGGGGTTAGCACAACACTTCAGAGCCTTAGAGTGTGAGGCCCTTGGAGCACTGAGTACAGCTGATAGCAACATCTTTTTCCCCACCCCATGAAAAAGAAGGAACCTAGCAGCCACTTGAGGACAGACTGATGGTATGTTCTCTAGAATTGGCCAGTAAATCATTCCTGCCTTTTGTCCTCTTCCTCCTTTCTTTTGCTCCACCAGCTCACCGTTTCTTCTCCCGAAAGCTTTTGGTTCAGTAGAAATGTTGCTGCAACCTGCAGTCCTTTGCTTCTGATAGTGTGGTCTCCCATTTTGTACACTTGTGATTTGTCCAGTTCTAAACCCAATAAAGTATGTAGAACCTGCTGGATTGTGAGTGGTGCTTTTAATGGAAGTGTCCCACACTGGAGGTCTCTCAGTACCCCAGAAAGAGAGAAGGGAACACAAATCAAGGTGCCCTGGTGTAAACGGTCAGGCAATGTTTCTCAGCCTTATACACTGCAGCCATAACTTTTGTAATTGTATAGTTGAAGATCTAGTAGTAATGGCACCCAGATTCACCACTACTCTTTGCCATAAGAACCTTATAAACACTTGTCACTTGTACAGCTGTCCAGCCACCAAGGCCATTGGTGAGAAGTCCAGGAGTCACTGGCATGACTTCTATGGAAGGTTTGCATGGCACACACGTTGCTGGAAAGTATTTCAGGTTCACTTTCCTTTCACACATTGAGTAGTGCAGGGACACTGGCCCTCGCCCTTACTTGATAAGACTGGGGGTTGGTTAACAACCTGCCCCTGACAAATCTGTGCATTGTGTGAACTGAGTAGCTGGGTTTGGGAGAAGACCGGTGAAGATTTTCAACCATTTTCTCATGACACTTGAAGGAACTTCCTGAGAGAGAATGTGCAGTCTTCAGATAAATGACTTGGGCCTATAAGCCCAATGCAATTTGATTTCTAGGATAGCTCTCTTAAGAGCAAGCTGGAAGGGTAACACTGTGGGTCATGGTACAGTTCAAGAGGCTGAAGCTCAAAGGCTGAATTCCTAATGAAAAAAGCGCTCCGCTGTACTCCCTTAGCCACGTCTCTCACTTTGTATTAATTGATGGAAGGTGAAAGACCAAGTCACAGTTGCAATTAAAGCCTACTAGACTATGGGGCTGCAAGCAGTGAAGCAACATGAGTGTCCAGGACAGTGATGGCGAACCTGTGGCATGCATGGCACAGCTGGCACGCAGAGCCCTTTCTGTGGGCGCGCAAGCCATAAGTCGCCGGATCGCTACTCCCCACCCCGCAGCCTCAGGAGGCAGCTGGTGCTGGCAGTGGATCCTGAGTGGGGTCTCGAGGCATCTCCATGCCCGGGATTCCCCTTTTTGCCACCACTTCCAGTTCCACCACCGCCACTTCTGGTTCTGCTGGGTGTCGTTTCCCCCCCCCCCCCCAAGTTTGGGCACTTGGGCCCAAAAAGGTTCACCGCCACTGGTCTAGGAGATGTTTGAAAACAGCTATCCTACATTAAGTCATTGATAACGATGCCCCTGGAAAGCACTTTGAATAAATCCCCACAATTAAAAGGTCTGATTACACCTTGAATGCTGTTGTATCATTTTCTAGTCTCACAGGGAGTTGTTTTTCTGTAAGGGTTGGGGAGTGATTTTGTGTAGCCCAAAGCTAAAGGCTGTGTGGAACTATCTCATTAAGATCCTAAACACTGAGCATTATAAGCATCTCTAGGGAAGAGGGTGTCACACACACACACAGTCCCCCTGTTTGTTCTTCCACATAACCCAGGTTCACTTTCGGGTATGACATTTATTTTTCAACCCTTTCCTGCTGCCCCCAGAGGATTTCTCCTCACTCTATCAAATATGACTCTTAAACACAGTTCTTCAATATAACAATGTTTATTTAAGTGTTTATCAGTAAATCATGTAAAGTGAACCATGGATGGTCTTTTATTCAATAAATTGTGCTTTGGTAACATTCATATTTGCTTAGGTAGAATCATTTTAAACAGGGTATTTATTCATTTCTTATCTTATTCCCTATCTATTACTCTTCTCTAACACAAGGCTGGTCCTAACTGCCTAAACTCCTTAACTCTAACTCTCATCCCTAACTCAAACTCTAACTGAAATCCTCTCTAACTCTCTTTAACTCTCATCCATTCTTATATATCTTTAGTTCCGCCTTTTCTGTACAACCATTGGCTCCTGAATCAGGGTTCCATTGTGATGGACAGGAGTGGTTCCTGACCTGTCCGTCACAGAGGGCTATTCTAGTTTTTTCTATTCTGGGAAGCCTGTCAGGATTTGGAAGGTAACCTTCTCTGGGCATCCTTGCTCACGTGAACCAAAGACTTTATCTACTCAAGAGCAAAAGAAGAAATATAGAAAAGTGGTGTAGTTTGCTATGTAAGTCCTAAATGTTGGGCTTAGTTGGGCATGTTATAGGAATAAGCATCTTGGAGACCTTGATGCAGTAGGCCAGTGGTCCCCAACCTTGGGCCTCCAGATGTTCTTGGACTTCAACTCCCAGAAGCCACCACCACCTCTGATGGCCAGGATTTCTGGGAGTTGAAGTCTAAGAACATCTGGAGGCCCAAGGTTGGGGACCGTTGCAGTAGGCAAACTGGATAGGTCAGCTGCATTGTCTTGTTACTTCTCAGGATAATTTTGTTTGACATGTGATCCATCACACTAAACATAGCCCACTGGCCATCATCTGCTGTGTCCGCTTAATTTTGCAACCTGGCTTTACTTGTGAAAGCAGGACGGTTATCAAATGCATGAGAGACCCATTATATACCATATTTTTCACTCTATAAGACGCACTTTTCCAACCCAAAAGTGGGGGGGGGATATCTGCGTCTTATGGAGCAAATACTGTAAAACAGCGCTCCCCAGGGCCCAATGGGGGGATGATAGGGGGAGCCTTGGAAGGGTCCGAGAGTGCCTTCCAGGACCCTTTGGAGGCTCCCACCAACACCACCCTGTGGGGCCAGCGGGGGCGAAATCGTGACCTTCCAGGACCCTTCTGAGACTTGGAAAGGCACTCTTGGACCCTTCTGAGGCTCCCCCCCCAGAATATTTTTTTCCTGGAGAGGTGTGTCTTATGGAGCGAAAAATATGGTACTTATACTTTACTAGTAACATGTATAGCAGTACTGCAGTACCTGGTGGTGTAATGGATAGAATGATGGGACTCTGGGTTCGAATCCGTGCTTGGCAATGGAAATTCACTGTGGATGGGGGAATGCAACTATTCCTTTAACTGCGCCATTTCCCTTGAAAACCCGATCACTGCATACTCTTGTTTGCAGTACCACTTATAGGGTCACTATAAGTAGATTCTACCTTGATGGCACATAACAGAGAATACAGTACATGATTTCCCTGCAACTAATTGCCAGTCGTCTTAGCTGAGAAGATGGCTTTTTAAAATGGGCTTCAGGCCACTCTTAATACAACCCATGAAGAAAGCCTCAAATGAAACAGACCAAGCATAACTGGATTTATTTTTGGAACAAAACAAACATATTCACCAGCATCTTCAAACATGTTGTCTTGGATTTTTAATGTATGCTCTCCAGATTTTTCAAATTTGAGATTTCCTCTTTGGCAGGCTTGGACCTCTTAAGAATGGAAAAAAGGATTTTGAAGTTTAGAATCTTAACATGCCCCATTTTTCCTTGATATAATAATGCCTTTATCTCTATGCTCATATTTAGAGCTATTCGGTCACAGATAAAATTAGTTGCATTTGATTCCCATTTGAAATTAGAAGACGTGAGTGGCATAGTTTCCACTGATATCATTGGAAACTAAGGCTGCAGTCCTACGCTTAGTTGGAGTAAATCCTATTGAACTCAGTGGCTCATAGTCAATATTTTAAATATTTTCAGCCTACCTTTCTCCTTAAAGAGGACGCAAGGTAGTTTACAAATACACAAAAGGATCAAACAAATGGCGCACTAAAAATAGTAAGCAAAATCAACAGCAAAAACACATACAGAGCAGTAAGGCACAACAGACCATCTGAAAACCCATCAGATGGACAGTCACTTAGGTAAAGCCTGCCTGAAGAGACAGGTCTCCATCTGTTTGCAGAAGGACAGAAAAGATGGGGTCAGGCTGGCCTGTGGTAGGGTGTTCCAAGCAGAGTTGTTCCCCAGTTGCCACGATGGCTGATAATGGCCTTTATTTTGACTAAATGGATCCCTAAATCACTGTAGGAATAGCTAACTGGTCCCACAGTAAATTACTTGGGTGATGCTTCACTTGGTAGGCAAAACACCATGAAAGTAAAGTAAAATTCCTGGTGAATTAATTTGATTAGAAACTGACCAATTCTAGTCAACAAACTGAGTTGACCCAAAGAACTTAATGGTTCTAGCTTCCGAATAGAAACCTTCAGTAACAATAAAAGGTTGCCCAGTATGATTGATGGAATCGTTTGTATTCTGAAGATGGCAGGATGTGTTTTCCTATCGAAAGCTTGATTCTTTTATTGTTATTAAAGGCTTTTACTTGGAAGCTAAACCCATTAAGTTCGTTGGGTCAACTTACTGCGTTGACTGGTGTTGGTCAGTTTTTAGCATGCTCCAAGAAAGTAGAAAGGATTATAATCTGGTTCAGTACTAATTTACTACATCCACACTTGAGGGCTCAAGGAGATTTTCTCGCTCCATTGTTTGTGTTTTCTTAGCAGGTGTTTACATTTATCTTATTTATAGCTATCTTTCTCCAAATATGGGGGCTCAAGGTGGCTCACAGTGTTAAAAACGTAGAGCTGAAACCAGAAGAAATTATACTTTAACAACAATTGGGCTATGATAGGAATTAAAACCATTTAAACATTTAAAAACTCAACGAAAAATATGGTGGTCAGGGACTCAGTTATGATTGTTAAAGTCTGCCTGAAGATGTGGGTCTTCAACAGCAGAAGGTTAATCTGACCTCCCAAGGAAAGCATCCCATAATCTGGGAGCAGCCACAGAGGAGGCCCTGTCCTGTGTCCCCATCAATCATGCCTGCACTGGCAATGTTTACACTGTTTAGGAAAGAGATTCTTAGAGAATGTTATTTTACATTGGCTTCCCCCCCCCACCCGCAAATTTGGCAGGAGAGCTGGCTGATCGTTTCACAGCTGTTCAAATCTCATTTTAAAAACAACGTACCTGTTCATGGTTGCATTTTCTACAGTCCCTCTTAATTATTTTAACACGCTGCTTGTCCAAAATCACAAACCTTGATGCACTCTGCTGAATTTGCAGCTATTCGCAGTGAGTTTTCAGCCAGCGTTACACAGAGGGGGTCAAAAGTGTGTGTTTGTGAGAGGGAGCTTGAAGGGAGAGAGGGGAAAGGGTTGACCTTATTCCACCCAAACATTAACTTCCTCCTGTATAATTTATCCAGGCAGATGCCAACTAGATAAATGCAGAGGGAGAAAAAAGCTGGTTTAGTCTGCCAGAGTAGCACAAATATGAGCTGCTTGCAATGTTGATTCTGGTCTGGGCACCTTTTTCTTTTTAATGGCCGCAAAGAGTAGGAAATGGGGAGGCCTTGACTGAGCAAGAGGGATTCTCCAGAAAAGATGCCCCTGTCAGAAGCTTCTAGCTGGGCACTCAGAGATGCTGGCCGTACAGTTCGGGAATGAGTCACCCTCCAAATGTCGTTGGGCTGCAGCTTCAGCCCCCCCCCGACCAGCATAAGCGGAAGTGGGGACTGTTGAGAGCGACAAGCCAACATCTGGAGGCCCCCCAGGGTCCTCCTCCTTGAGCTACAAAGACCCCAAGCATGGACCTGAGTAGGAAATGACCTACTACATCCTTTGTCTCTCTAGCTCAGGCCGATCATTCACTTTCCCGGCATACAACTGGAACTTTCTCCCAGCCCTCCCTGGAATGAACTCCAGACCATCCGCATGGAAATTGTGTCCTCTCTCAATGAGCAAATGGGTCTTTGGACAGAGAGCACCCTCGTCTGGCTTGACCTCAACAACTGGGCTTACTTTCTGTATCTCTGTTCTGCTTCCCCTTCCCAGTTTATTTTCTTTGGTGTGCTCGGTCCTCCTGCCACAAGCTCTTCCCCAGATAATTCCCTTGTTTCAAAACCAGAAGTGTGCCTGCAACAGTGACCCTTTCTGTCTCTTACCGTGGTCATGTAGAAGAACACAAACCCTTTATTAGACCACTAAAAAATCCGTTTATGCAAGCTTTTGTGGCTTAAAAATTGGCTTCTTCAGGCACGAGAGAAGAAAGATTATAAACGAATGTCCCAAAACGTCATGGTAAAAGTTGCCAGGCATCCTGCCCTGGAGTTTAAAGCTGGTTACAGGCAGGCTGTGGGGATGATGGTTTAACGTTTCACCCTGCTACCATGAGCTTGGAAGCTTCTGCCCGGTACTCAAGACAAAGGCAGCACTTTCAGGGATGATGTGCTTTATTCAGAATATTGTTACCAGCAATGCTGAGGTTCTGGCTATATGAGAAAGAAGCAGCAGCAGGACAGGATATGGGGCACCTCTGGGTGGGCAGTGGTAGGCCATGGGCACAGATACCCACTGGAGCTGGTGGGGGGCAGGCAGCAGAATTGCCAGGCTAAGAAAGAATTTTGTTGTTGTTTAGTCGTTTAGTCGTGTCCGACTCTTCGTGACTCCATGGACCAGAGCACGCCGGGCCCTCCTGTCTTCCACTGCCTCCCGGAGTTGGGTCAGATTCATGTCGGTAGTTTCGGTGACCCTGTCCAACCATCTCGTCCTCGGTCGTCCCCTTCTCCCCTTGCCTTCACACTTTCCTAACATCAGGGTCTTTTCCAGGGAGTCTTCTTTCCTCATGAGATGGCCAAAGTCTTGGAGCCTCAGCTTCAAAATCTGTCCTTCCAGTGAGCACTCAGGGTTGATTTCCTTCAGAATGGATAGGTTTGTTCTCCTTGCAGTCCAGGGGACTCTCAAGAAATAATAAGCAGAAGCAAAAAGAAGAAGAAGAAGAAGACGTACATCGGGTCCTTGCAAAGCAGAAGCCTTCTGTTTCTTCATTCCCAAAATCTGATGTTTAAAAGCATCCACTGCAGCTATCATGGGCCTGGAGAGGGACCTGTCCTACGGCAGTCCTCAGTCATGGATTTCAGAAGCTCACCCTGCAGAATCCGTGTGAATCCTCTGGATGGCAGGGAGAAGACGGGGGTCTTCTCTTGCATCTGGAAGTTTGACGAAGGAGAGAGGTCTGCTTTTAGTTCCTGTATGTTTTGGACAGATGGATCCAATTTCTCAAGGCTGAGGGACGGCTCTGTTGCACAGCTCCTTTGCAAAACGGCAGCATGTCGGACGGAGCAGCGCCAGTGGCTTCTTCCTAAATCCAGCCCCCCCCCCCGTCATGAGGCCAAGCCCCCTTCTGGAGGCCAAGATGTCCAGGTGGTACAGAGGTCCAGCTGCTGTTCTTCTGTCGGTCTGGACCTTGCTTGCAATCCTGTGGATTCTGCAAACTTCGGACCTGGAGGTGAGTGGAGATTTCATTCCTCAAGGAGGGGATTTGGGCAGCGGCTTTTATACCTGGGAGCCGGCAGGTGGGTGTGCAATTGAGAGAAGTTAGACAGGCTTTTGGAATGACTCCCCCCCCAAAAAAAAATTACTGTAAAAAACAATTTTAAGAGCAAGAAACTCTCTTTTTTTAAATGCAAACTGGATGTTCATCACACCAAAAGGATGAGTTATCTTCAACGTTCCTAAAGCAGGAGGTAAAAATGGGACTGATCAAAAGGGGAAAAAAGACACCACCAAGTCTTGTCAAAATTACTTTTTCAGTCTGCATTTTCTGGAATTCCCCAGCTAGCATGGCCATTCTCTAAAGTAAACCTCCTGAGCATTTTCACCCTGCCTCCAATAGCTTTTCATAAAGGGTCCTTTTCCTCAACAATAGTACTGTATGATTGATTTATTTTTTACCTCACACAAGTAGGACCAAGTGTATTTATTTGTTTGCTTGTTTGTTTGCTTAAACTATTTATATGCATAACAAGAATCCATGGCAGTGTACCATATTGAAAGGAAACACTGTTAAAGGCTGAAACTGTAAGATACTACAACAGTAAAAAAGAATTAAAGAAATATAATATTAAAACTCATGGGGAAAAACAGTAGTAAAAACACATTAAAAACCACCTACACATAAAAAACAGAACCATTCCAATTAAAAAAACCCTTAGATAGCTAAGGGTAAACTTATCTGAAATAGCATGTCTGCTTGCGGAAAGAGAGCCAAGAGGGGGCCAGCCTGGCCTCCAGTGGCAGGGAGTTCCAAAGTCTGGGAGCAGTGACAAAGAAGGCCCTCTCCTGTGTCCCCACCAAACACGTCTGTGAGGATGATGGGGCTGAGAAGAGGGCTTCTCTGGATGATCTTAAAACCTGGGCAGGCTCATAATCAGAAATATAGCCTTTGTTTGAGATATTCTATTTTATTTATTTGACTTCTATACCGCCGATCTGGATGCCAAGGCAGGCCTGGGCTGTTTTTAAATGTTAAACAAACAAGACCTCAGAGAACAATTCAAAGCAATAAACATCAAAGTATTAATGATGATGTACAAAGCCCTAAACGGTTTGGGACCTCGATACCTGGCAGATCGCCTTCTTCCGCCTAGGTTTTCCCGAATCACCCAACAAAGCCTGCAGGGACGGCTGAGGGGACTAACGGCGAGAGAGGCACGGAAAGAAAGAACAAGAAACCGGGCCTTCTCGGCAGTGGCCCCTCGGCTATGGAACACCCTCCCAACGGAAATCCGGCTGGCACCCTCGCTGGGCGTTTTTAAAAGCCATTTTAAAACTTGGCTCTTTAGGCAGGCCTTCCCTCCAGCCAATTAACTTATCTTCTGTTTCTGTCTCTTAACTATCCCATCTTGATAATGCATATATGTATATAGACACTTGTTATTAGGTTTTATTATGTATGTTATTTTATTCTGTTTTATTACTCATGTTAAGCTGCCCCGAGTAGACTTTGTCTAGAGGGGAAGGGTATAAGTTCAATAAAAGTACATAATAGTTATAAAAATCAAGATTAAACACAAACAAACCAACAAAATGTATGTAATAATAATAATTAAAACAGTATAAAAGCAAGGTGGCAGAACTGATAATATAAATGTTAAGACCACCACTTTCTTAGGATGTTATGAGGTCCAGGAAGGCTAAAGCCATTTAGGGACGTGGTGGCGCTGTGGGCTAAACTGCAGAAGCCTCTGTGCTGCAGGGTCAGAAGACTAGCAGTCATAAGACCGAATCCACGCGACGGAGTGAGCTCCCGTTGCTTGTTCCAGCTCCCGCCAACCTAGCGGTTCGAAAGCATGCAAATGCGAGTAGATAAATAGGGACCACCTCGGTGGGAAGGTAACAGCGTTCTGTGTCTAAGTCGCACTGGCCATGTGACCATGGAAGATTGTCTTCGGACAAAACGCTGGCTCTATGGCTTGGAAACGGGGATGAGCACCGCCCCCTAGAGTCGAACACGACTGGACAAAAATTGTCAAGGGGAACCTTTACCTTTACCTTTAGGTGAAAAACAGCACTTTGAATTGTGCCCAGAAACAGACTGGCCAGCAGTGAAGCTGCTGTGATGGGTGTGTATGTGTGTGAGGTTTATCATCTACTTTATTATCTAACCTCCTCCCTTGAATGATAGCTATGGCTCTAACCCTCTGAAGGAAGGGTATGGTGGGCTAGAAGGGTGGGAACCCCTCTGCCCAGACAGGAGGTCTTGATGTCTCTCATTGTAGATATCTGCTGTGCTTCCTTTTAGAGAGAAGAACAAACCTTTTCTCCCATAGTACCAAGCCTGACCAGGAGGAGGCGCTATGCAATCAACCCACTTGGCTATAAATGGGACCATGTGAATCTAACTTACAGGTGAGTGTTTGAATGTCCTGTGTTAATATAGGCTTGCCAGGGGTGCAGATAAGGCTAGACCTTGGGCACCAAGCAGAGGGACCCACGATCCCACTAATTAATGGGACAATGCTGAACAACCCTGGTATCTTTCCCTAGGTCCGTGTGGTGATGCTATACCCTTGGAGAATGGCACAGTTGGCCAATGCAACCTACCTTTTTATTTCAACAGTTGCCCAGGCATATTAAAACAACAACCATGGGATTTCCTTAGAGATTTGGCATCACAGTAGCTTTGCAAACTAATCCCATCCTTACCTTCCAAATGAATCAAAAAATCCAAGCACGCTAATTGCAAGATACAATTGCAGAAGAAAATGATGTGCTAACAGATGCTTTCACCTCTGGGGGGGTGAAATTAAAAACTAAAAGCAGCAACATGCACAGTCTGGAAAGCAAAGTAGCTTTTCACTTCATGTGCTCTCCATACCTCTGTTTGGTTGCAGGATTGTGCAGTTTCCCAGCACCCTCAACAAGGGGGACACCGAGCGAGCCATTGCCAGCGCCTTCCGCATGTGGAGTGATGTTTCGCCACTCAGTTTCCGGCGCTTGCCCGCCACTCAGCGAGCGGACATCACCATTGGTAGGAGATTCCTGGAACACAATGCAAGCTGTCATATTTGGAATGGGAGAAAGAGAAATAGAGAAAGGAACAACAGTTTCTCCTTCTTTGTGTTTGATGTTCAAATTCAGAATGCTTTAATTTGTTATCTGGTTGCTATCAATAACAATGTATGAGTGGCCGGTATTATTCTCTATATATGGGACTGATGTGGACTTAGACGGAAAGTACGTGGCTTATTTCCCCCCAACACAGACACATGGGCTTCCTCAAGATGTATTGTAGGCCAGCTCTGGACTTCTTGTGGGTTGGGTTAGGCCCATGGGCCATTCCCCGGTTTAGATTGAATCAAGCCTGAACTATCTCTGGAGGGGGAAATGTTGAAATTGAGGTTCTCCTACTTTGGGCACATCATGAGAAGGCAGGATTCTCTAGAAAAGACAATAATGTCAGCAAAGGTGGAAGTCAACAGGAAAAGAGGAAGACCCAATATGAGATGAACCGACTCCCTAAAAGAAGCCACAGGATTGATTTTGCAAAGAGCAGAACAGGGCTGTTGAGGATGGGACGTTTAATAGATCGGTCATTCATGGGGTTGCCATGAGTTGGAGGTGACTTAGCAGCACATAACAACAAAGATTAAAACCTAGATGAGATGTGAATTGGGTTTCTATCTCTGTCTGTTAGGAGGATGGTATGCCAGCCCGAAAAGTGATCTGTGGCTATCTGGAAGCTATTAACTGGCCTTAACCAGCTCTGTAGCCTAGGGGCTTCTGTGTCGGCCCAGATGTGAGATGGCATTCTCTTATCCTAACAAGGCCATCCTTAATGAGCTCGAGCGACAGGAAGCCAGATTTAGGCTGAATATCAGGAAAAACTTCTTAACTGTTAGAGCAGCACGACAATGGAACCTCTGACCTTGGGAGGTGGTGAGCGCTCCAATGCTGGAAGCCTTCAAGAGAAAGTTGGCAGATACAGTACCCATTGATTTCTATTCTTGCATTGAGCTGGGGGTTGGACTGGATAGCCTTAGAGGCCCCTTCCAACTCCATTATTCGATGTTTCTATGATTATTCTATGATTCTATCTTTACCATGAGACTATTATTTGGCTGTCCATTGGTTTAAAGGTGAAAATGGGAAACAGGCCTGTCCTATGACCACAAGATAATTTTTAAAAAAGCTTTCTCAATGTCATGTTTGCAGTCCATTTTTTCTGATGCCGAGGCAGCTTGGAAAATGTGAAGCCGTTTGAAGAACTAGGTTCCAGAGAGTTTGCTCTCTTCTATGAGCCCTGTTTGTAGACATGGAGGTCATAAATGCCACCACTGAGACACATATATTTTTGATGATGAAGATGCCAACAGTGGACACACACCCTTGAGATGGTTGGGGTCAGGGCTCTCTGGCTGTTCTGAGGAGATGCAGAGTCTAACTGAAGGTTGATGGGCTGCAGGTCTCGAGAATTCCTCAAAAATTCCTTTGTTGCCTCTTCCAGATGAACTTGAACATCTGGCACAACCCCAGGGACACAAGAGGGGTGTTCACTGGCAGATTTATCACATCTGGGTGAGTTGGAAAGGGTTCAAAGTCATGGCGTGGAGATAAAAAAGGAAGTGGAGGGAATGGAAGACATCTGGAAAGAGGCAAGAAGGCTGGGATACATTTAGCTGGTGCATACCGGGAGAGAAGAGGCTAGGCTAACTCGGTAGTTGCGATTCTCATTAAAACAGAAAGGGTGTGTGATCAAAAGAGCTCAGAAGGGTCTCCTATATCCAAAGGGGGGGATTCACCATTGGAAAGATATGTACAGTTGGGTGTCCACAGAGGAACAAAACGGAATGCTTATTCTTCCCCCGGAACCCTAAAATTCCTTATTATTTTAACCCACATAGAGAGATATGATGTCATTTGTATTGGTACGCACTATGCACACAAATTATGTCAACATACCCTGTTTCCCCAAAAATAAGACCTAACCTGAAAATAAGCCCTAGTAGGATTTTTCAGGATGCTCGTAATATAAGCCCTACCCCAAAAATAACCCCGTCCTCCACCCTTGTGCAGCAACCAGAAGATGACAGGACTGCATTTGAATACATGTAGATCGGTTGAGCATGAAAAAAAAATCTCCTGAAAATAAGCCCTACTTCATATTTTGGAGCAAAAATTAATATGAGACCCTGTCATATTGTGGGGGAAATACTGTATTCTTCTGCAGCTGAGCCCCTTGTCCTCTGGAAAATTTCCTGGAGAAGCCTTAATGATCTCGAATTATCCTGAAACGGGCTCAATAGCTTAGGGAGTTGGCTATCTCCCTACGAAGCCAGAGGTCAGGTGTTCCAGAGGGGACTGGGGGACGCGCGCATGCATGCACGCATGCACACACACACACACACACAGAGGAGAGAGAGGATATGGAACGGTAAACCACTTCTGAGTCATTTATACCTAGAAAACACTGGGAAGGGTTGCCTTAAATCAGAACTGACACCATATCATTTAAGAAATGATCCTGAAGCTCCAAAATCTGGCGAGGATGATTTGGGAATGTCTCTTCTCTCACCCCATCTCACCAAATTCTACAACACCCAACCTGAGGAAGAATCTGGCAACCCTCGAGCGTCATCTGTGTTGAAACTTTAGAGGCCTAAGGAAGAATATGACTCTTGTTCTGGGTTAATTATAAGATGATATACTGACCAGGTGAAACTGTCCCTTCTGCTCTGTACAGAAGTCATTCATTTGTAGTAGCTCTTAGGAGCTGACCAGTCACTTCTGACTTACGGGGATTCGATGAGTGAGTAAGCTCCCAAATGGCCTCTCTTTAACAGCCCCTGCTCAGCTCATGCGAACCTAAAGGTACTCATTCTTATTTATACAGAGATCAGTTAGTCGCAATTAGAGTAGACCCAGCTGATTCAGTGGAATTTACGGAGGAGTTGACTCACAAAACCCCGTTTGATTCTGAGGGACTTCTGTAATTCAGGGGGTCAGTCGAAAAGCAGATTCAAAGAATTGGGGTGCAGTCTGTGCAGGACGGGGTTACCATCGCCCTGAAAACACAGACGTGCGGATTGTGTGTGTGTGTGGGGGGGTGCTTCTGGATTTGTCTCTGAGCTTGGATGCCCAGGTTTGAGCAGTGGGGCAGGATTGCCTTTGCACCATTAAAACTAGTGCACCAGCTGTTGCCCACTCCTGGAGAGGTCTCATCTGGCCACAGTGATGCATGCCTTAGTTACATCCCAGCTGGATTACCATAATGTTCTCTATGTGGGGCTAGCTATGGAAAGTGTCCAGAAATTTCAGTGGGTCTGAAACGTAGCAGCCAGGTTGCTAGCTGGGGCTGCTTACAGGGACGACACAACCCCTCCATTACAGCAGTTCCACTGGCTGCCGATCCATTTGTGGGCACAATTCAAAGGGATAGTTCAATCTAATTTATATAGCTCTAAATGACTTGGGCCCAAGCTATCTCAAGGACCATGCCCTCTTTGAGGAACCTGCTCGAGTGTTAAAATCATCAGGGGAGGCCTTCTTCTCGATCCCACCACCCTCACAGGAGCATATAACAGGGACATAGGAGAGGGCCTTCTCTGTGGCTGCTCCCAGAGACTCTGGAACCCCCTCCCACTGGAGCCAGCCTGGTGCCATCTCTGCTGTCCTTCTGCACACAAGTGAAGATCTTTCTGTTCAGGCAAGCTTTCCTTCAGTGACAGGCTACTTGAGCGGGTTTTTAACAGACTGTTGTACCTTACTGCTTTGAATGTCTTGGTGTTTTTAATGTTTTTTTTTACTATGTTACTTGTGTGATCCTTTTTGTATTTGTATAATCACCGTTAGCTTTGAATGCTGTCTTTTAATGACATAAGCTGCCTTGGGTCCTCTTTAAGGAGAAATAAATATATAAGTATTCCAGGGTGATTTACAGTACTAAGCCACAGGATTTGGACCGTGGAATATTGTAAAATATAAAGATTGTATGCTTTTTTTTTTTAAAAAAAAGGAATTTGGGAATCCTAAAGAGGCAGTTTTTATTTGAAATTTGGTGGCATGATGTCTTCACAAAATTTAAAATATAAAGATTGTATGCTTTTTTTTTAAAGGAATGTGGGAATCCCAAAGAGGCAGTTTTTATTTGAAATTTGGTGGCATGATGATGTCATCACAAAATCTAAAACTAAGGAATTCCAATGACATTTCAGAGCCTTTATGTTAGCTTTAGGCATCGAGAGATGAAACAACAATAGGAAGTGCTAGACTAGTGACTAGGTATGTCCGTCAGTAGTATAGTAGAAAATCTGGAAGTACGGATGTTTATCACGAGATTCCCCATAGCCACTGTGCCCTGTAAGGCAAGTGTAAAGGCCACTGCATATCAACAACTGAGCAGCAGGTCTTCATGGCTCTCAATGGCTCATTGAAGACCAAACCAACATCAAATATTTTGTACTTCAACAGGAAGGGATTGAAAACAATATACTGTATTGTTTTAAGGAAAATAAATTTCTCACCTTGTGTCTGTGTGGACTGCAGGCTTGGTGGTGGCAACAGATGATGTTCTACACAGAACATCCTGCAACTTTGATCCTGTGAGCCCTACTCCGCTACACCATTGGTGTTGCTAAAAGCTAGGGAGATCATGACCAAATAGGGCTGCTGGCCCTCCCTTATGGTATGGTCCTGATTGAGATGATGAATATGTATCAGGGCAATGCTGCTTTAGGCTGCAGGTATGGAAATCACGGGACTGCATCTTCTCCCATGGAGGAGGCAGAGTGTTCCTGCACATGGAACATGGACTTGTTAACACTGCAGGTTTTCTAAACTGTTCCACTAAGGCATTTGTTACCAATTTTAGGTCCCCAGATGTTCTTGGATTGCAACTCCCAGAAATCCTGGCCTGCACAGCCAGTGGTGAAGGCTTCTGGGCATTTTAGTCCAGGAACCTCTGGGGACTCCAGTTTTGGAACCACTGCTACTCTACTAGACATAGTGTGATAGCTTGGAAGGAAGGAAGATACCGAATGTTTCCGTCTATAAGACGCCCCCATGTATAAGACACCCTCCACTTTTCTTATCCAAAATTAGGAAAAATAAGTGAGGCTTAGCAAGGGTGGGGGGGAAAGGGATCAAAGTGCTGCAGGATCGCTTTGATCCCTGCTTTCTCCTCCACTTGTTTTTGTTCTCTCCTCAGCTTACTTCCGTGTATAAGACGACCCTCAATTTTTAGTCTAAAGATTTTAGATAAAAGTATGATCTTATACATGGAAAAATATGGTAGTTTGATAGATGAGGATTTCTATCAGGTGCTAGTCAATTGACTAAGGTCTCCCTCTTGCTGAGCAAAGGACTGGCTTTGTGCTGAGGGAGAGTCCGGTTCAAATCCACGTTTCCCCTTTTAGCTCCACGGAAGGTCTCAGACCCCTAATCTGTGTGCTGTAAAAGCTACAGGGTCAATTGCGAAGAATCATCATGTTCTCCATTGTTGGGTTGTGTTGGGCAGGTTTCTACACCTTTAACCACACGGACTGCTGGTTCTCACCCACGCATCCTTGTTTCGACGGACTGAATGGAGAGCTAGCTCATGCTTTCCTCCCTCCCCACGGTGAAATCCATTTTGATAACCACGAATTTTGGATCCTGGGACGCTCCCGCTTCAGCTGGAAACAAGGTACTAGCATTTGCCTCAACAGCATGTATTACTTCTGTCCTCTTCTGTATGAATCAGGATGAGTTAAACAACGGGGATGTTATGTCCGTAGTGGTGCAGCAATGGTCACCAGTACCTGGGACAAGTACTGTGCCCCATCAAGGCGGACAAGGGAGAGAGCCTGGCACTGGCAGAGCGCCTTCCTGCCCCACATGCCCCACCTGCTTTGTGTACACTGGGGAGAAAGCAGCTGGGCTACTCTTGGCCACATCTGCGTTAAGTACCCTTAGGCTGCTTTTGACTTTTGATGACCATAGTATGGTCTTTGCGGTAGGTAAGATGTTCAAGGAGCAGCTTTCCATTGCTACCCCTCCAGTGAGGTTCCATGGCCAAGAAGGGATTTTGAACCCAGGTCTCCAGAGACCTAGTCTAAATTTCTCTTCTATCCAGCACGTTGGCTCTCAACACAGGTCATTTATACAGTAAACTGTTGGCATTTTCCGTTTGGTTGGCTTGATAAAGAATTAACACAACTCCTAAATAAACAGTATGATCCTCTCCTGAGATTTCACACGTTTCATCTGATCTATGAGGAACGGTGCTTGTCAGAGCTTGGAGAAGTTACTTGGTGGAAAGCAAGTCCCGGAATTCCTCAGCCAGGATGGCCAACTTGCAGATTTGTATGAACTGGAGTCTCCGAATAGTTAATTTTTTCCAATCTCTAGTCTTGGCTTCAAGAGTTGCCAGTCTGAATTATTTTTTTTTACAGCAGTGCCCTCCTCCCCTTTTCAACATGGTTTTCAGGGGTAAAGAGGGGGGAAAGGCAGTAGTTGTGGTTTGAAGAAGTGATGTCCTGGAAAAAACGGCATCCTCCTTGAATTTCATAAACGAGGAAAGGCAACTGCTTGATTAAAACCTTTACTGGAAGCATCCTTTTAGATGGGGGAACATATCAAGCCCTGTTGGTACAAGATAACACAACAAATTTGGTTTTGCCCCACTGCGGGGGCTGCACCCTAAATTCCCATTTCTCCAGATTCACTCTGTATTGCAAGCTAACACTGGCTTTATCCCAGTTTAACGCTCGTGGCTGTTCTCAAAGTACTTTGGGAATTGCAGCTACGAGTCAGGTGTCCCTCCTGGCATTTTGATTCTTGACAGGAGACTCCCAACTTAGAGCCCAATTACACTGGTGATTTGTATTGATTTCAGCAACCCAGTATTTTAAATTGGTTTCAAGTCACATGTTATATACGTTGACTTGTGCATTCACTTGATAAACAACAATTCCAATTTTATTTATTGATTTGTTTGTTTGTTTGTTCATTCATTTATATACCGTCCCATTAGCGCATATCCCTATTCTGGTCAGTCAGCAATGTCATAACAAAACATGTAGAAACAAAATTAAAAGCAACTCCTGAATCAGATAAAAACAAGAACTACTAATAAAATAAAAGAAAGCAGACCGCCGAAGAATTGATGCCTTTGAATTATGGTGCTGGAGGAGGCTCTTGAGAGTCCCCTGGACTGCAAGGAGAACAAACCTATCCATTCTAAAGGAAATCAACCCTGAGTGCTCACTGGAAGGACAGATCCTGAAGCTGAGGCTCCAGTACTTTGGCCATCTCATGAGAAGAGAAGACTCCTTGGAAAAGCCCCTGATGTTGGGAAAGTGTGGAGGCAAGAGGAGAAGGGGATGACAGAGGATGAGATGGGTGGACAGTGTCTGCGAAGCAACCAATATGAATTTGACACAACTACGGGAGGCAGTGGAAGATAGGAGAGTCTGGTGTGCTCTGGTCCAGGGGGTCACAAAGAGTCGGACACGATTAAATGAACGAAATGAACTAATAAAAGAGGAGGCATATTCTCTAAATGTGGGAACAGGACAGGTGTCATAAGGTCAGCGTGGATTGTATAGAAAGGCTCTTATGTAACGTAAAATCTTCATAAGCTTTTTGAATTGACTTTAAACAATTATTTACTGTCAGGGTAATGCTTATGAAATGCTGAGGATAACAATATGTGGCTGGTTGTCAGTGCCAAGATTGTTGGAGTGATGCAGCACTAATCTTTTTAATAATTTTTTTTTAAATTGGGCAGATGGCACAGCCACTGCCATCTGAAACTCAGAAATACTGAACAATGAACATCAACAATCAATTAAAATAGTCGTGTAATCTTAAAAAAACTACCTACCTCTCCCAAGAAAACTCACATTGCGGCAAAATCAATTTAAATAGTCGTGTAATCTTAAAAAAAAACTACCTGCCTTCTCCCAAGAAAACTCACATTGCGGCAAAAAAAGAGAGGCTTCTTCGTGTGCCATGTGGCTGGGATTTTAAAAATTGATTTTAGTTATGCAAAGCTAGATCCAACAACGGTTCTTATTGTCAGTATAACTGCACCCTTTGTTAAACGTCTAAGCACAATCCTGCCCTAAGAGTGACTTCTCCTGCTGTTGATAATGGAGATGGCGGTTCAGTTCCAAGGGTGCCTAGATGCACACATGATGTGCACACTCAGAAATGAACATTTCTCCCCCCTCCCCCCACCCCGCCTTTGAAATAAATGGAGTCTGGTTTGCATTGCTTTGAAGGGAAAACATGATGAAACACCCCCGTTTCTTTTGCTATGTGCACAATCGGTATGAACGGCAATGAACGGTCATGCAGGAAGCTGCTTGAAAAGCGAATCCCCAGTGTTTGAAAGTCTCCCCTTCTCTTAAATCCAATAAATAAATAAATAAAATCCATATTGGTTCTCCTGCCTTTTTCTTAATTAGTTCATCTGACGATGTTCCTGAGTCTATACATTCTCAGGATTCTGAGATTCTGTGTTGAAACAAACAGTGCTTTTCCTCCCCCATGATGTTAGATCCTGAACTGTTTTTGGCAGCCTTCCCCAACCTGGTCTGTTGTTGGACTACAGTCCCCATTGTCCCCAGCCACCTTCCATACACTTGGAGAGCATCAGGATGAAGACACCAGGGGTCGTTTGAGCAGGAAGAGAAGGAACACCGTTGTATAAAATTGGGTTGTTACTTCTCCCAGAATGGTGGTGTGCTATTCCGGAGCTTTCTAGAGGAACCTAGAACTTTTCATGCAGGATTCTTATTAAAGGCAGATTAATCCGTGTTTTACGATGACACTGCAGGTTTTCAGATTTTTCTTGTCTACTGCTTTTTTTAAAATGTAATTTCATTTAAACTCTTCTTTTTGGCAGGTGTCTGGCTAAATGACTTGGTCCAAGTGGCGGCGCATGAGATTGGCCATGCTCTGGGCCTGTGGCACTCCCGAGACGTCCGTGCCCTCATGCATCCGAATGCCACCTACAGTCGGACATGGCGTATCGGCCAGGATGACGTCTGGGCCATCCAACGGCTATACGGTGAGAAGTGTTCGAGTTTTTACAACCTTGTTTGTCTGGAAGGGACCCTTCTGGGCTGGGGTGACTCGTATCAATCTATCCAGCACTAAACAATCATTCCCTCCCACCTCTGAAATGTATCAATTTATCCAGCGCTAAACAATCATTCCCTCCCACCTCTGAATTCGAAGAGAGCTTCACCTCTCGGCTGAGTTTTCTTTTCCCTTTCTTTGTCGGCAATCAGTCGGTTCGTTTCGTTTGCTGTTGATCTGTTCACAACCTGTCAATCAGTCGGTTTGTTTAGTTTGCTGTTGATCTGTCCACAACCGTAAGCAATGAAACATTTTTATTCTTTCCCCTACAAAGGTCTCAGAGTGAGTTACTGAGACTGTAAGTGCCAGTTGATGAGACAAAGGGGTAGACTATCAGGGGAGCTTGTGGTTATTCTCTGTGAGTTGCTGTACATCTACTGGGTAGCAAAAGGAATGTTACCAGAAATGCAAAACTCTGCAACAAGAAGTCCATCTGGCAGGCTGTTCGAGATTTTTATTCTTTCCCCTACAAATGTCTCAGAGTGAGTTACTGAGACTGTAAGTGCCAGTTGATGAGACAAAGGGGTAGACTATCAGGGGAGCTTGTGGTTATTCTCTGTGAGTTGCTGTACATCTACTGGGTAGCAAAAGGAATGTTACCAGAAATGCAAAACTCTGCAACAAGAAGTCCATCTGGCAGGCTGTTCCCAAACCAGGAGGTACCAATGGCTGTTGTCTTGTGCCAACTGAAAGCCCTTTCTCTGTAGATGCAGTTGTGTTTAACCCAACGGGACGCCTTCTCACAAAACCCTGGTGCTTCATTTTGATGGAGTTACATTATGAGATTTGTTGTATTTTCCAGCATTCTACCTTCTAAGCACTTCTGAGACCTTACCGTACCTCCGTGCCTTTCCTCTACTGAGATGGCCTTGTAGCCTGGAGGTGGTGCCTGCACTCCCACGTCCCTGTACCATGTTACAGGAGTTACCGATCTGAAATATTGATTGATTGATTGATTGATTGATTGATTGATTGATTGATTGATTGATTGATTGATTAGATTTGATTTGATTTGATTTGATTTGATTTGATTTATACCCCGACTATCTGGACTATTCGTCCAAACTTCTTGCTGGTCCTTTCAAAGGGGCACTTGGTCATGTTACAGATAACAGATCATTAGAAGCTGAGACTCCTGAAATAAGTTTCATGTCTGATTGTCACAACAGCCACTGTTTTACACCTTCTGCAGCTTGCAAAGTAGCTTCCTTTGTTTTGCAATGGGTCTCCAGGCCATGCCAGCATGTTTTTTGCCAGCAAGTCTGATTTCTCAAATACAAAGGGCTGCCGGAATCAAATTGCTGATGCAGTATCAGCGCCTATGATGTGTTATTTGTACTTTGGACTTCCTTTTTTCAGGAATAAGACACAAAGAAAAACAGGTTTGTTCTGGCATAAGCTTTGGTGGACAAAAGTCTCCTTCAGAAGATGTCTAAAATATTATTCTAACTTTCCGTGTGTGTGTCTGTGCACTTGTGTTTAGATACACACAAAGACGCAGGTGATGTCAGCTATAAAGGAAACACAAAGCATAAAAGCATACAGTTGAAGCTTAAACGTGTGCAAAATACGCACAGTGACGTGTGCTAAGTCACACCTATAGTGGGACAGAAAATCACATTATATCGCAAGTCAGATTCTTCCGAAGTCTAAATCTTGATCTGATTATCTTCCAGATCAGGGATGAGCAACATACAGCCTCGTAATATAATTCCAAGTCCCTCTGCAAGCAATCATTCATTTCAACAAAAGCCAGCATCCCAGAGGGAAGATTGGGAGACCGAGGAGGCCACTGGAAAGAAAGAAACGACTTTTAGCTAATACAGTGGTGCCTCGGTAGATGAAGATAATCCGTTCCACTGAAATCGCTGTTTAGCGAAATCATCGTCTAGGAAAAAGCATTTCCCCATTGGAATGCATTGAAACCTGTTTAATGTGTTCCAATGGGGAAGAATTGTCGTTGTCTAGCGACGATCGGCCATAGGAAAGATGCTTTGCAAACCGCCGATCAGCTGTTTAAATCGCTGTCTTGCGAAGCTTAGGTCCCGAAAACACCCGTTTTGCGAGCACGGAGGGACCTGTCAAAATTGTCATATAGCGAAAATCGGTTTGCGAAGCAGGGACCAAACATTGTCCAGTGAAATTCCCCCATAGGAATCACTGTTTTGCGAATCGCTGTACCGATCGGAAAAAATCAATGTCTAGCGAAAAAACTCATGTGGGGTAACTGTCTAGCGAGGCACCACTGTACAATAAACTTGAACTTGAACTTGAAATGGGTGGCACCCCTTTCCTGGATGCTCTGCCTGCTCTTGCCTTTGACCAGCCCTATTGCCCGGCTAGATTTCCTTCCCAAAGGGTGCCCTTCAACAGCAGTGACTTCCAGCAACAAAGCTGAGCCTTCTGTCTTCTGTTCTGTAGGTGCCAGCCTTTATCAGTTTAGGAGAACAACTTGGTGGCTTGACCAAGTCTGTACTCCGTTCACCTGTTTTCCTTCCCTTTCCGAACTTACAGGGTGTGTGGATGAGAAGAGGCAATGCCAGCCGTGGGCCCGGCAGGGCCTCTGTACCCGACAGCGAACCTTCATGAAAAGGCATTGTCCCCGGATCTGCAACGCCTGCTTTGGTGAGAGCCCAGTTCTCTTTATTATAGACTCTTGAGCTCGTAAGGATTCAGACCACCATCACCCACGAATGCCAAAAACTGCGGACAACTTCGAACCTTATGCATATCATAATCTCTGGCTCCCTCCAGTGGCCAGTTCTGGTAATTACATTGTGGAAATAGCCATTTCTGCACCCCACCGCACCCCAATATTTGCAGATTGTGGATAAGTAAAACCGTGGATATTGATTCCGCAGACATGGGGTCCTACTGTATACTACCGTGTTTTCCTGAAAATAAGACCAGGTCTTATATTAATTTTTGCTCCAAAAACATATTGGGGTTTATTTTCAGAGATGTTTTATTTTGCAGTCCTGGTTGCTGCACAAAGGTGAAGGGCAGAGTTTCACTTAACTAGGGCTTATTTTTGGGGGTAGGGCTTATATTATGATCATCCTGAAAAACCATACTAGGGCTTATTTTCAGGTTAGCTCTTCTTTTCAGGGAAACAGGGTAGCTACTGTGACTCCCCCTCCCCCTATAGGGAGATTCTCCCCCCCCCTCCATGCTGCCCAGCCATCATGGATGCTGCAAGAGAGGGTTTCATCTGCTGTGGGTTGGACTAGATGATCTTTAAGATTCCTTCTTTCTTGATGATTCTGGAGAACCTTCAGTCATGTCACTTCAGTCCTGGGGCTCACACCAGCAATCCGAAATGACAGTAACTTGCAAAGAATGCTAGGGCCAATGGAGAAATAATAAGTTCAAGACTGGTGTTGTTAAATTAAAAATACCATCAAAATGGCTTTGAGCTACTGCTGCTTAGCTAGGCCACCTTTTCGTTTCCCATCCAGGTACTATACATACTTGATCTTAACTGAAAAGCCAAGAAGCAAGTCCATCCAGATAGTTAAGAGATCATTTTAGAACTGAATGCAGCTAACTTGTTTCAGAGTAGGAGCTGTAATCTCAACTTGCAACCTTATTCATTCGTAGGTCATCTTTCTCCCAATGAGGGGACTTGAGGTGGCTCAAAGTGTTAAGAAAAAAAATTAGACATTAAAAAGCAATTAAATTATAATAGTAATTAAAATGCATTGAATACTTTTTTTTTAAAAGGCAAAGTGTCAAAAATGTCTTTTTACATACCGTCCCAAAATGCTTGAAGCATTCTTTGAGCAGGTTTACAATTTAATTACGCAAAGTAGACATGCCCACCCACCCCCCATCCAGCTGGTGTTCAATTTGCTGACCTCGGAAGAACGGCAAGGTGAGTGAACCTTGAGCTGCCTCCCTGGGATTGAACCAGGGTTGTAAAGCAAGCGTTTTGGCTGCAGTACTGCAGTTTCACCACTGTGCCATTGGGCACTCGCTTGATCTTTTCTGAATCACTCCAAAGTGCTAGATATTTGGAAAACAACCCTCCTCAAATATCGGTAGCTTTTTTTTTTCAAGAGCCAGATTCAGTTGTCTTCTGTTTGCGATCTTAAATGGATGCTATTGCGGTGAAAAAGTCCAACTAGTGGCCATGTTTCTTCTTTCTAAATAATGAATATGCAAGACAATCTTTGCCTCTGTTTTATATATATATAAGTGACGTGGTGGCGCTGCGGGCTAAACCGCAGAAACCTGTGCTGCAGGGTCAGAAGACCAGCAGTCGTAAGATCGAATCCACGTGGCAGAGTGAGCGCCCGTCGCTTGTCCCAGCTCCTGCCAACCTAGCCGTTCGAAAGCATGCAAATGCAAGTAGATAAATAGGGACCACCTCGGTGGGAAGGTAACAGCGTTCCGCGTCTAAGTCGCACTGGCCATGTGACCACAGAGGATTGTCTTCGGACAAAACACTGGCTCTATGGCTTGGAAACGGGGATGAGCACCGCTCCCTAGAGTCGAACACAACTGGACAAAAATTGTCAAGGGGAACCTTTACCTTTACCTACCTACCAATATATATATATAAAACAAATTTTAACGAGTTTTGTCAGGTCTGCCCTTGCACCATAAATATATATATATATTTAAATGAACTTGGCACAATGGACAGTGGCCGAATCCTGCCTGCTCTGACCGTGTCTGATTTCTGACTGGGGGGTGACGCAGGGAGCGAAGCCACCCTTGAAGATTGAACACATTCCACCGCCAACCTCGCTTCTTGTAGACGTAGAAACCTCCGTGAGTGAAGCAGGCAGGAAGGTTATTTTGGGAGTGCTCCTGGTCTGACGTCATCAGGTCTTTGATCTCTCCTGGCCAGGGACTAGGCGGACTTTCAGGGAAGCCTCAATGCTTTGCTTTATTCCCAGAAGCAAACTGGCAGCCAACAGAAATAGTTACATTCTGGTGTCCTGTTCTTAGAACAGCGTGTCTCCATTAAAAACCAGGACTGGCACATTCCGAAGCAACTGTGAACGTTTCCCAAAGCCAACCCTACTTCACTTCTTGCAAAACCTGGGCTTATAGGGCAGTGTTGATGTTAACAGCACGAACCTTCCCAACCGGTGCCCCCACACTCAACAACTTAATTGATTCCCCAAAGACGGCTGCAAATAGAGCTGTCCTTAGTCAAACTCCACTTTTCCCATTGAGGTCAGTGTTAAGACAGGGTTTGATTCCGGTTCATTCTCTAGCTTTGGTTCAGCCCTTCTCTCCTCTCACTTTTGCTGTGCCCCTTCTGCCCTCTACTCTCTTCCCACACCAATTTCCATGATCTTCCTTGCTTCTTATCTCCCAGGGCATGGACTCACCTCCCTCTATGACCATCTCCACGCAAGAATTGGAGGTTGTTCATGATTTCGTGTACCTTGGCTCAATGATCTCTGACACTCTCTCCCTAGATGCTGAGGTTTGATTCCTGGTTCATTCTCTAGGTTTGGTTCAACCCTTCCCTCCTCTCATCTTTTCTGTGGCCCTTCTGCCCTCCACTCTCTTCCCACACCAATTTCCTTGACCTTCCTTGCTTCTTATCTCCCAGGGTGTGGACTTACCTCCCTCTATGACCATCTCCACGCAAGAATTGGAGGTTGTTCATGATTTCGTGTACCTTGGCTCAATGATCTCTGACACTCTCTCCCTAGATGCTGAGCTGGATAAACGCATTGGCAAAGCAGCTACCATGTTCTCTAGACTCATAGAGAGAGTATGGCTTCATAAGAAGCTGCATCTGAGCGTTCAGCCTGGAGGCAGGTGGTGCATCATGGCCTATCCTATTTTGAAGAGACCCTTGTCCAGCAGGCCGAGACCAAGAGGCAGTACCGAAACCAGCCAAATCAGGGAGCTGGACGGGGGACAGATTGTATTTGTCTTCAGTGTGGAAGGAATTGTCACTCTCGAATTGGCCTTCTCAGCCACACTAGACACTGTTCCAAGACCTCAATTCAGAACACATTACCATCGTCTCTTGAGACAGAAGGATACCTACACATGCCTACACCTTGCTCCTTCTGCCTCCTGTCTTCTCTTGTCCGCTACACCAGCTTCCTTGGACCTTCTCTACCACCTCCACCCTCCCCTATTTTCCTACTTGTTGCATTTCTGGACATCTGTGAGCTCATTATAGAAGTTTTCAGTGCTGGGTAGGGGACTCAAAACACTGAACGGTCATAGGTCTATACATTCATCCAGCAAGGTTTCTTTCCAAGATATGCAGAGGCCTGACCATTCTCCTTCCAAAAAGTAAGCACCACCATATCTGTCCTGACCACATTCTGAACGCACATGCCCAAATTATATTCTCCTACCCACAATGGAAGTGAGAGCTGGACCATAAAGAAAGCTGACCGCCGAAGAATTGACCCATCGTCTCTTGAGACAGAAGGATGCCTACACCTTGCTCCTTCTGCCTCCTGTCTTCTCTTGTCCGCTACACCAGCTTCCTTGGACCTTCTCTACCACCTCCACCCTCCCCTGTTTCCCCAGTTACAGTATTCCATTTCTGGACATCCGTGAGCGCATTATAGAAGTCATAGAACTGAGTTTTCAGTGCTGGGTATGGGACTCAAAATGTTGAACAGTCATAGGTTAGGGGTCTACTATACATTCATCCAGCAAATTTTCTTTCCAAGATATGCAGATGCCTGACCATTCTCCTTTCAAAAAGTAAGCACTACCATATCTGTCCTGACCACATTCTGAACGCACATGCCCAAATTATATTCTCCTACACACAATAACACAGCAGAGGCATTTCTAGTACTGCAGGAGAGGCAACGGCATCTCTGTGTACGTAAGGAAAGTGCACAACTCACTTGGGAAAGTTATCCAGAATTAATCATTATTGCAGAGTTTTGAATTTCTGGTAAAACTTCTTTTGCTACACCAAAAGAACACAGATTCACAGAGGAGAATAGCTACAAGTTCCCCCAAAGCGTCCACCCCTTTCTCATTAACAGGTACTTACAGTCTCAGGAACTCCTCTAAGATTTTTGTAGGAAAAGAATGAAATGTTTCATTACTTACAGTTGTGAACAGATCAACAGCAAACTTAAAAGCTGTCTTCAAGAGACTAAAGAGAGGGAAAGGAACATCCAGCAGAGAGGCGGGCTCTCTTTGAATTCAGAGGCAGGAAGGAATGATTGGTTAATGCTGGATTGATTGACAGTCATTCCAGTCCAGAAAAATATCTCCCTGTCACTCAAACTATAGGCAGTGTGCAAAGTTGCAAATAAAACTCTCAACAATTTTTTTGGGGGGGGGGGCTTTTTTCCAAATTTCACAGAACTTCAACCTGCTTTAAGTGAAGTAGCCAGTGTGGTAAAAGAGTCAAGGTGTTAGACTACAATCTAGGTTCTGCAAATAAAACTCTCAACAATTATTGGGGGGGGCTTTTTTTCCAAATTTCACAGAACTTCAACCCCAAAGAAAAATAAACTCTGCTTTACGTGAAGTATCCAGTGTGGTAAAGGAGTCAAGGTGTTAGACTACAATCTAGGTTCTAATCCTTGCAGAGCTTTGAAGCTCTGTGGGTGGCCTTGGGTCACTCACTCTTTTCCAGACTTGGTTGACATTACAGGATTAAAGTGAAGGCAAAGCAAGGAGAAGGAGAATCATCTGTATTGCTCCAAACTCAGTGGAAGAAAGGTAGGATATAAATAAGCGTAGGATCCCTGTATCCACAAGAGATTGGTTCTTAGTATGATCCCCTCTCCCGAATGCTGAAAATCATGGATAATAGCAAACCCTATTACACAGCATGGTAAGTGGGGGGAAAAGAAAAAAAGTATTTTCACACGTATTACCAAAACTGACCATACTATGTATAAAACAAGACTCTTTAGTACGGTCTCTGACCCCATCTGGTGGAGAGTTCTTGTAAATACATCATGAAAACATGCATTTTTAGTTTTTTTTTTTTTTAAATATATTTTTTACTATTTTCAGACTGCAGATAAGTGAAGCTGTGGATACTGATCCCTCAAATACGTAGGTCCTACAGTACGCCTAGAGTGGTCATGTTACCAGATAGGCGGGATATAAATAGTATAAACAAATAATAAATAAAGTACAACAAACAAATGTTATTCTGTCTCACTAGTGTGCTGATGGACCTGTTGGCCTCGCTGGCTTTCACTTATGTCCATTCCTTCCTTCCAGAGCATTCTGCTGCTGCCACATCTTCCTCCCCTCCACCACCTTGGCCTTCTCTTGTTCACACTAGATACGTCACAAAAGGCAGGGCCATCACCTTTCGTTGTGGGTTCAGCTCTTCCAACAGGCCACACTTGCAAATCAGGTGAGAAGCTCAAGCTCAGGTAAGGACAGGACAATGGAACATCTCCAACAGGCAGGAGTGTTGTTGGCTATACCTGCTCCAGGTGAGTCCTTTTTTTTGCACAGTCAGTCAGTGGAGCCAGATGACACCAATATCACCTGGGACACCAAATCCATTTTTGGGTTTCAATCCAAGCATCACACGATCTATCCTGACTCTCCAAAATAAGTTCCACACCTTGCAGAGTGCCCTGAAAGTTTGGACTGAAAATCCGAAGAGCGGAGAAATAATTGCAAAAAAGATAGATTGGAATAGCCAAGCTGCTAGGAAGAAGCAAAAAGAATTCAAAGAAATGGAAAGTCGGGGAGGGGGGGGAGAAGGTAGAAAGGAAAGGATCCAAGGTGAAGGCACAACAGGCAGGCAGGCAGGCAGGCAGCAGTCCAAAATGGAGGGCATGAGGAGCTCAGCACACAGTAATCCCACAAAGAACAACAAAGCAAACAGCATTCCTCACTGAATTCCAAATTCCTGCTCCCCTGCTCTTGGGTGGAAATGTCTTAACTGTTAGAGCAGTACAACAGTGGAACCAATTAACCACTCATATTAGTGCCTTGAAGCAGAATACAAATAAATAATCAATAACCTCAAGAGGGAGTGAAGGCTCCAACACTAGAGGCATACAAGAGAAAATTGGGCCACCCTCTCTCGGATCGGCTTAGATTTGGACTCCTACATAGAGTTGGACTCGATGATCTTGTATGCCTCTTCCAACTCCATTGTTCTATGATTCTAATACATAATTTCTTAGGTAATTTGACACACAAAGGGTGAAAGGACCCTGAAAGATTATGTAAAAGTGAGAACGTGAACAAAAACTCATATAAACCTCTTTTATAAATATGAATAATTCACATGGAAAACGCTCCGTTTTGACAACTGCATGAAAGAGAACCCAAGTCTCGTTTTAACCTGAAAGGCCCATTCCTCCTTCAGAATTCTAGGAGCTGCAGTCCCTCCTAAATAAGATTTCTAAACTGTATTTAGAATCAAACAGTACCATTTCCTTTCAAGAGACAAGGCCTCTCCTTCCCAAGGTTAAGCCCTGCCACGTCTATCTTGAATGCACTCTTAGAACACAAACACACCTTCTATTCTGCTGCCTTTTGGAGTTTACAAGGGTGGGAGTGTAAAAAACGACGACGTACCTTGCCTTTGGATGCTATGCCAGTCTGTTTCCACTAGGGGGACTTGAGACCTCAAAGCCACAGGGCCACCAGAAGTGGAAAAAGCTGATGCAAACTCTATTGCCGGCCTTCTCCTCCCAGGCAGCTAATATAAGCTAAACAAAGTTTTCTATAATACCTTTATCAGAAGGAGTGTGTGTGATCTGTGGGTGGCATGTAGCCTCTCAGGGGAAGTTGTCATGACCCCAAGAATCCTGCAACTGGGCAGGCGTGGGTGTCAGCCATTCTTCAAAAACCTCAAATGTGGTTTTTTCTGATCCCATAAAGTCCCCATCCGAAGGCAAAGCAGGAATTTCACATCCAGGCACGTTCACTTTTGTTTAAAGGCCAAAATCAGTCATTCTGGGTCCCAAGCTCACTGTAGCTGTGTCTGGATTACTAAATTATCATGTTCAGCCTTGAGAAAAGAAGATTGAGGGGATATCCAATAGCACTTTTCAAATACTTGAAAGGTAGTCATACAGAAGAGGAGCAGGATCTGTTCTTGATTATCCCAACAAATAGGACATGTCATAATGGGCTCAGGTGACAGGAAGACAGATTTTTGTCAAATATCAGAAAAACTTCTTAACTGTTAGAGCAGTACAACAATGGAACCCATGACTTTTGGAGGTGGTGAGTATTCTAACAGAGGTGTTCAAGAGAAATACAGTGGTGCCTCACTTAACGATTGCCTCGCTTAATGAGGAAATCGCTTGACGATTAGGTTTTTGCGATCGCAAACCAATGGTTTAAATGGGAAAAATCCACTTCACGATGATTGGTTCCCTGCGTCGGGTGCCGATTTTCGCATTACGACGATCTAAAAACAGCTGATCGTTGGGTTTCAAAATGGCCACCGGGTGTACAAACTGGCCCCCCGCTGTTTTCTAGGACGGATTCCTCGCTTTAGAGGCAGCGAAAATAGCTGCCCTTATGGAGGATCTCCGCTGGATGGTGAGTTTTCAGTCCAGTGGAACGCATTGAAGGGTTTTCAATGTGTTTCAATGGGCTTTTTTATTTCGCTTAACGAGAATTTCGTTCTACAGCGATTTTGCTGGAACGGATTATCCTCGTTAAGCGAGGCACCACTGTATAGGCAACCATTTTTCAGATCTGCTTTGATTTGGATTCCGACATTGAATAGGGGGTTTGGACTTGATGCCCTTATAGGCCCCTTTCAGCTTCATGATTCTGTGATCTTAGGCAATCCTTCAAGTTCTCCAGAACCCTTCTCCAGGGTAGAAAATGCAGAGTTTATGGGTAGGAAGAAGAGGAAAGAACCCCCACCCCAAAAAATACACATCTCTGTGTAGATGTTCTTTGTCCATTTTAATTTGGAGCTTTCTTTGTCTGTGGGGCTAAGAAAGGAATTTTAGAACCCTGCAGCTTGTTTTTAGGCACAGATCACCCCCCCTTTTACTTTTTCTCTTTTTTTCCAGCTGGTATAAAGATGGGCAGCCCCTCACCCAGTCTGTCCAAGGATTTGAGCTGCTTCCCAACCAGGACCTGCGCGTTCTCGCCACGGAGTTTAGCGAAGGGCGATACAGTTGCTTGATCCGTCGTGGCACCAGGACTCTCCGTGCGAATTCCTGGCAGATAAAGCTCAAAGACGAACGACCGTTGCGCCCGACCCTCGGAGCGCCAAAGGGCACCCAAAGGAAAACGGTGAACTGAAGTAATCGTAGAAAAGGAGCGGTAGAAGGATCTGTGTAGAGATTTGTCCTGGACAGAGCAGCAAGGGCTCTCCATGACCCTTCCCTCTTTTCCCCTTGTGACTAATTTTTTAATCCGAGTACTAATCATGAGAGTCCCAAGGAAAACATTTGCAGCCGGATGTGCGGATCTGTGTCAACAAACCAGTTCACTTCCCATCTTCATCAAGAGCAGGTCTTTTGTCAGGTTAATAGGTCTTAATTCAAGACCATTCAGGAAGTACCCTAATTACTTGTAATTACAAATACTTTGGAATTTATTCTTGTGACAAACCCAGACCTACCGGGATATGTCACACAGTTACACTAAGCTGCCACCAACCATTCCCTTTAAGAAGTCACACAGACCAGGGATGGATTTTTAAACAATAAAAAGAATAAGGTTTATTTTAAATACACACAGGGAAAAATAAACAATCAGGTGAATAAAATAAAGTAACGTGGCTTATTCTCACTCATACAAGCATACAGTTTGGTTCACCCAGAACCCTTAACTTGAAGCACAGACCCTGAACCTATCAGTTCTGGCTAACCAACAGACACCTGAACCTATCAGGTTGGTACTCTGACACACAGAAGTACCCTGTCTGACACACAGACTCCCACAACAGCTTCTTCTTCCCAGCTGCTGCTTCGTCACATCCCAGTGTCTCTCGTAACAATTCTATCCCACAATACTGTATACTGCTGCTGGTAAAGTATACTGCTACCCCTTTCCAGTTCTATGTGTGGAACTGGAAAGGGATAGGATGCAGAAAACGAGGATGTTGGGGGTGAATGACAGGATACAAAATATTGTACTTGCAAATCCAAAAATTGGACCTTATGAACACTAGCAGTACTCAACCACTCCCTCCTTTAAACCGCTGAAAAAGAACATTTGAAAAACAGGAATAAATTTCCATGTGAAATAATTTGTGCATATTGATCACAAATTCTTGGGTTCGGAGATCACCGATTTCTTAATTCTTAGCCTGTGTCCACCTATCTGGATCACTGTTTCGCGCCTGGCTCTGGTTGATGGACCATGTGGTTCAAATAGAACATATCTCTTGCATGTGACATACAGTGGTGCCTCACAAGACGAATTTAATTCGTTCCGCGGTGAATGTTGTCTTGCGAAAAATTTGTCTTGCGAAATGCGTTTTCCCATAGGAATGCATTGAAATCTAATTAATGCGTTCCTATGGGCAAAAAAATGTCAGAACAAAGTAAAATTTGGTTTACAAAGGGTTTATTAAGTGCTCTTTAAAGCCATACATATTGTGCAGATGATTTAAAAAATTTCAATTAAAAACTTTTAAAAACATCATAGAAAAACATTTAAAAATCAGCAAACATGGGGCAGAAATAAAAAACAGAAGACATTTGTCTTACGAAGCACAGCCTTAGGAACATTTGTCTTGCGAGTCATCAGCCCCCCCATTTCCAAAACCGTTTGTCTTGCGAGTTTTTTGTCCTGCGAGGCATTTGTCTTGCGGGGCACCACCGTATATTTTTATTAGAACCAACAGGTCCATCAGAAGAGGTGTCAGGATCTCCCAGGTGATTAATCTCAATATGCTAATATTTACCTATTTGTATAATCCTACCCCGGCATTTTCAAGCTGAGCTATAATAAAATGAGAAGGTAACCAGCACCTTTTACAACAGCTCATTTTACACTGGTGTAGGAAACTAGAGAAGCAGGACCTTCTACGAGCACAGCTTATGTATAATGAGCTACTGCTTCGCCTCTTAATTTTCGTGTTTCCTACTTTTATGTCTACCTTTGAAATGACTGGTTCGGAAGGAAGGGGATGCCAACTTAATTTAGTGACGGCTTGGCTTGCCCTGGCATGATGCATCGCTTTGTACAGTAGCTCCTGTTCTGCCACCCCATCCCTCATCGCCTACAGCTCTGTGATGACTAGTCGAAAAGGACACCTGCCTGATTCATCATCATCACCCCAGGATTCAGCGAGGGCCACCTCTGTGAGACAAAGCAGCCACCTTTAGAAGGAATCTCCAGGCACGTAGCCATGGCAATCAGGAGGATGAGTTTGCGAAGGCTAGGCAGGACCTTTTGTGTCTGTCCAAGGGGTTTTCTTGGCAAAGATACTGGAGTGGATTGCCACTTCCTGCTCCAGGTGGATCGCGTTGAGTCAGAACTCTCCACTAGGACTTCTCTGTCTTGGGTGTCCCTGCACGGCATAGCCCATCGCTTCTCTGAATTACCCAAGCTCCTTCATCACAACAAGGCAGCAATCCATGAAGAAGGACCATAAATAAGGCTGACCGCCGAAGAACTGATGCTTTCGAGAGTGACCCGGACTGCAAGGAGAACAAACCTATCCGTTCTGAAGGAAATCAACCCTCATTGGAAGGACAGATCCTGAAGCGGAGGCTCCAATACTTTGGCCGTCTCATGAGAAGAGAAGACTCCCTGGAAAAGCCCCTGATGTTGGGAAAGTGTGAAGGCAGGTGGAGAAAGGGACGACAGAGGACAAGATGGTTGGACAGTGTCATCGAAGCGACCAACATGAATTTGACACAACTCCGGGAGGCAGTAGAAGATAGGAGGGCCTGGAGTGCTCTGGTCCATGGGATCACAAAGAGTTGGACATGACTAAACGACTAAACGATGAACGACAACATGGCCTGGCTCAGGACAGCTTCTAAACATTGGTGTTGAAATAGGGGTGTCTCTTATCTCTGTTCTCCATACACATACACACAACTCCTTCTTTCTCTTCTTCTTAGTTTGTCTCTTATGAAGACAGGGAAACGACCCAACCTTCTCAAAGCAGGCGTCCCTTCCAACTTTGGAGACTTGACTGAAGCCACTCTTCCTGTTTCTTCTTCTCCCGGCTCCACCCAAATGATCCTAAGTGCAAAGGAGGTGAACCTGCAAAGCCCTGCACAAATAGGGCACAGGGTGTGTGTGTGTGTGTGTGGTGGCTACAATTGTGCCACTTCTCCCTGATTAGCCATGCCAACATCTGGCTGGCTGCCAACAGCATGGGAGTTTGCAGAGACGGTGTTAGTGGGAGACACGTGATATCCTCTTTCACAGGAGTTACATTTTTAACGTTTGGGCCTCAACAGGACTCTGAGCCCATGCAGACTGAAGGAGATCAAACCTCAGCAGATCTTTTTTTGGTCACCTCTTAGGAGAGAACCGGACTCCAAAAGGAAGCCAAACTGCTCGTTTATTCATTTTACTCTCACTGCGAAGTCAAAGCTAAGCCCTGCCACCAGCTTTTGTTCCATTGACACACACACAAGCTGATGCATCTAGCAGCTGCTAGCTGGTTTCTGAAGGGGTCCCATCAGCAAGCAGAACAGCTCCGAAGTTGAGTCTCTCAGATGGCCAGGGCAAAAGTCTTAAGAGGAAAAGGGGGTTTCTCCCTTCTCTCTCTCTCTTCTGCTCACTCTTCCTCTTTTGAGATTAATGCTTAAGGAAGGCAGTTCCGGGAAGTTAAACACCCACCCACTCCTGGGATTGAAGTCTCCATAAAGTTCTCTGATCCAGATATTCACCTTTGGGTGTCCTCTTCACTCAGACCATCAGCTCTCTGAGGAGGAGAGAAAGCAATGACGTCAAGCTTTTATCATTACGTTTATGGCGTCTGGAGCTGCCAGGGTTTTCATGCTCACCTGCCACAACTCATTTCTCACTGTCAGCCCTTGTGCAGCATTTCTGTTCACAAGACAAGGAACAAGAACGACAGAAGGGAACCCTTCAAATAAATCCAATTTATTCGGATGCTTAGCTGCATCCAAATAAATTCACGGACCGCATGGGGAAACTTTTGAAAAAACACAACCTACAAACAGTATTCAAGCCCACCACAAAAATACAACAAATGTTACGGTCAGCAAAGGACAGAAGGGACCCCCTCACCACTGCAGGAGTATACCGGATACCTTGCAGTTGTGGCCAGGTATATATTGGAACCACAAAACGAAGCATCCACACCAGAATCAAAGAACATGAGAGACACTGCGGACTGAAACAACCAGAAAAATCTGCAGTAGCTGAACATGCCCTGAAACAAACTGGACATGAAATTCTATTCCAAAATACGGAAATACTGGACAACACCAGCAATAATTACGTCAGACTGCACGGGGAAGCCATTGAAA